ATTTTGAAAAGGGGCCATTTGACCCCGCTTGGTACGTTTAGTGTTAAAATTACAAATGTTTATTGAACCTCATGATAGACTATTAATCCACTCTGTGTCATCCACGTAGCTCGAACTCGGATACAAAATTGATACATTGGAACTTAAGTTCGTTTTGACACTAAAATTTCCAATCTATTTGTTAGAAATTACGATTACTGTTGTAATCGTATATGATCTTGTAAAATATTTCACTTTCATTACGGTTGTTCTCGACTAACTTCATCTAACAGTCATGTGAGAAATTTAATTTAAAAATAAAAATACTCTGAATTTTCTGAGAAGTTGATGATTGTGAATTTTACTTTGTTCCCCGTTTGTACTCTCGTTTCGTGTTCTTGTCGTGCAATTCTTAACATTGTGGCCGTGATAATGAAAATTAAAATACCGGAGTAAAAAATAGAATAATTCATCTGTAACCCGAATCTTCGTTATCAATTTCGTTAACAAGAATGATAAGACTGTTCTGCTTCATCGATTGAGACGGCTTGAACATATTTTTCATATCAATTTGTTAATTCGATTTATTTGTTTATTTACGTTGGCTGATAACGTTTTTTCATTAACGTTACACGTTAACATTCTTTGAAATCAGGAATGAAAAGAAGAAGAGATTTTACCGACATACATTTCCTTGAAATGTTAATGTTTGAAGATCATATAGAAGAAACGCGATAAATCTATATTTGCTGAGAATCAATCGTTTCAGTTGTTTTCCATGAAATACCGTTTATTCGTTATCTTTTCTTTAGATAAGAAATTCACTATCCTTTTTTCAAATCATGAATGGCAGATGATAAATGGTGAGGAATAAATTTAAAACTTGGTTAACTACAAAATATTACAGTACGTCAAATAAAAGCGATCTTCCTTACCGACTTTCCGTCGCTATAAAATTAAACATTCGATGAGAATAATTCCGACCTCCGAAGGGTTGAAGAAATGAAATTTCTTATTTCAATTGAGATTATCAACTCCACGCTTGATATCCTTGTTTACCTCACTGGCGAGAAAAGAGGTCATAAAGAAACCATAAAACACAATTGCGTGATGTCAGAGGAGAGAGGAATTCCGATTCGTCAAAAGCTAAGAGACATCGTTTCCTTCCGAATGATCTAACTGGTGTTCCATGCGCCACATGGTGGGGAATATTTGCATTGAAAGCTGGTCAAAAGTCGGCCTCAAAAATTGGTCCGCAATATTCCTGAGCTTAAAAAGAAGTTTAATATATTTTCCTATTGAGAAATTCGAGGCAACTACAATTAGAAACAAAACAGATTTTAAATAAATAAATAACTTTAAAAATCTGATAATTTTACAATACCGAAATATCTCATTTGTAAAAACCTACATTTATGACATCAAAATGAAACCGTACCAGAATTAGAATTCCAACGTTTCGCGAATCTATACAGTTTCCTTACTTACTTTCATCCGCGATTTGGGATCCAAACCAAAATGTTAATGAATTACCCACCGATATTTCTTTGCTATATTGTTTGTCGTCACATCGTTGCACATTTTCGACGAATACTTTGTAGTTATGCGATATCGATTTAGAAGACGTAAAACGGAAAGCTTTAGAGGTACCTCGTTGCACACATATCAAGATCACAAAAGAGAAAAAAACATGATAAGTACATTTTGGTTGTTCTGACTCTAATGCTCCACTGTCGTCAAGAAAGTTAACGTGACACAATTGAGAAATGAGAACAACTGATAAGTTGACAAAGAACATGACTATTAAGATAAAATATTTTAATATCTTCAATATTGTAACGTTACAACGATCGATAGATTGAAAACTCAAGAACATGAAAGAACATGTGTTTGGCTCCAAAATATTTCGTTATTAGATGACAACATATTGAATCTTTAAACCGCTGAAATAAAATGTATGATTTTATCGCGTTCTTCTCCCATAACCTTCACACATGTACATACGTAAACACAGTTGTTCACGAAAATATTCGACTTTTCACACTTGTAAAAAGTTACTTATACTCTTTTATAAATACA